AAAAATTACTAGTGTTTTGCTTTTGACCACCGAGTCCCTCAGTCCCTCCCTCGATTTCCCTTTTCTTCCCTTTAGCCTTATTGCTTCTTCCCTCCCTTCTATCCCCCCTCTCTTTTCTTTCCCCTTTTCCCTCCTACTGCCTATAAGGCAAGTTAGATTTCTATACCTAACTGATTATGTTATTCCCTTCTTGAGTTAAATCTAATGAGAGTAAGGTTCAAACAATGCCTACCCTCCTCCCTTTTTTCCCTCTGCTATAATAGGATTTTGTGTCTTTTCCTGTAATGTAATTTACTCTTGTCTACCTCCTCCTTTCTCAGTACATTTTCTAAAGTTAGACTAATCCACTTACTTGGATCCATTTAACCCACTTGATTAGATTTTTTTTTTATCATTACATCAAAGATAACTGGTGAAATAACAGTACAGTTCTCAAGAGCAGCAAGTGTCATCTTCCCTTGTAGGGATGTAAACAGTCCACCCTTATTAACAACATATTGTATCTTTCTGTCCCATTTACCTTTTTATGTCTTTCTTGAATCTTGTACTTGAAGATCAAATTTTTTGTTGAGCTCTGGTCTTTTTATCAGGAAGGTTTGGAAGTCCCCTATTTCTTTGAATATCCATCTTCTCCCTTGAAAAATCATGCTAATTTTTGCAGGGTGGTTGATTCTTGGCTGCAATCCAAGCTCCTTTGCCTTATGGAATATCATGGTCCTTGCCCTGGGGTCTTATAATGTAGAAGCTGCAAGGTCCTGTGTAATCCTGACTGTGGTTCCATGATATTTAAATTGTTTCTTTCTGGCTGCTTGCAGCACCTTCTCTTTCATCTGGTAATTTTGGAATTTTGCTATTATATTCCTTGGCATTGTCAATTTGGGGGTCTCTTCGAGGTGGTGAACAATGCATTCTTTCTATGGTTATTTTACCTTCTGGTTCTAGGACTTCAGGGCAGTTTTCCTTTATGATTTCCTGAAAGATACTGCCCAGGCTCTTTTTTTCATCATGATTTTCAGGTAGTCCAGTAATTTTTAAATTGTCTTTCCTGGATTGATTTTCCAGGTTGGTTGTTTACCAATGAGGTATTTTATGTTTTCATCTATTTTTTCATTTTTTTGTTTCTGTTTGACTGATTCTTGCTCTCCTATAGGGTCATTAGTTTCCATTTGTCCAATTCTAGTTTTTAACAGATTGTTTTTTTTCTGTTAGTTTTTGTACTTCCTTCTCCAATTGGCCAATTGTATTTTTAAAGGATTTTGTTTTCTTCAGTGTACTTTTTTTCCAGTTTGCCAATTTTGTTTTTTAGGGACTTGTTTTCTTCAGTGTACTTTTTTCCAATTGGCCAATTGTATTTTTTAAGGATTCTTCTACCTCTCTCATTAGACTTTTAAAATCTTTCTTGAGCTCTTTTTTTTTTCTGGGCAATGGGGTTAAGTGACTTGCCCAGGGTCACACAGCTAGTAAGTGTTATTTGTCTGAGGCTGGATTTGAACTCAGGTCCTTCTGAATCCAGGGCCAGTGCTCTATCCACTGCGCCACCTAGCTGCCCCCTTGAGCTCTTCTAAGAAGGCTTTTTGGGCTTCAGACCAGTTCATATTTCCTTTCGATGTTGCAGATGTGGGTTTGTTGACAATGTTGTCCTCTTCAGAAATTTTTATCTTGATCTTCACTGTTCTCATAATATGAATCTATGGTACATTTCTTTTTACTCATGGTGTTTCTTTATTCCTTGGTCTTTAAAGAGATTGAGCTCTCCTGCTGGGGAACAGAGGGCACTGACCCAAGCTTCTTGTATTGGGAGCCTAGGTCTTGGTCACTGGTTTTGTGTGCTGGGGCCTCTTATATTGGCAATTGGAGGCTGTAGGGTTCTGGCAGCTTACCTCATTTGGGGCTGGAATCAGCAAGGCTGGAACTTTCAGGCAATTCTTTTCCTTTCTTTTAGCTTTCTTCAGCTCCTTTTAGATGTGTGCTGCAGGGTGTTTATCTGCCTGGGGCCCTTTGTAATGCTGCCTCCCTCCTTTCTGCTAATGCACTGGGAGATTCCTTTGCGGTAGAGTGCTGAGGTATCTGGTGGTTTTCTGAGCTGGTTTCCACCAGTTTCCCTGCCCTCACTGAGGCACTTGGAGGTCCAGGTATTGGTGTTTGCCTGCTCTACCACCTAGACTTCAGGATCTTCTCCCAGTTGACAGTTGGAGGCTGTAGGATTCTGACAGCTTACCTGGTGTTGAGTTGGAATCAGCAAGGCTGGGACTTTAGGAAGACTCTAGGGTGCTTTCTTCAGCTCTTTTCAGATGGATGCTGCAGGGTGCTTATCTGCCTGGGGTCCTTTATAGTGCTGCTTCCCTTATTTTTGCTGAGGCCCTGGGAGACCCGTTTGCTGGGCTGCTGCACTGCTGCTCCCCATCTTTCTTCTAGTTCAGCTGTTCCAGGGTTCGTTTTTTTTCTGGAGTGATATTTTCTGGTTTTTCAGAGGTTGATAGGGGAGGGTGAGAGCAACTACCTTTTTACTGCACCATCTTGGCTCCCAGAAGCGGAAGTCCATGATGGAAAATTCTGTCCACATCCAGAGAAAGAACTTAGGAGTCTGAATGCAGGTGGAAGCATACTATTTGCTCTCTTTTTTGTGGTTTGGTTTTGTTTCTTCTTTCTTGTGATTCCTTCTATTACTTCTAATTCTTCTTTACAACATGACTAATGTAAAAATATGTTTAATATGAATGTATATGTAGAGTGTATATATCAGATTGCATACCATCTTTGGGAGGGAAGAAGGAAGGAAGGAAGGAAGGGAGGGAGGGAGGGAGGGAGGGGGAGAAAATTTAAAACTCAAAATCTTGTGGAAGTGAATGTTGAAAACTAAAAAAAAATTAATTTTTTAAAAACTCAAGAAGGGCAATTCTTTTGCCAAACTCAGCTGAGCATGACTGACTATGGAATGCCCTTTCAAAGCTTCATCTACTTGGTGCTCCCCCTCCCCATGAAAAGAAAAGAAGGTTTTGGAACTGTACTCTAAGTTATTCACTTAATAAATATTTCTTGAATCTCTCAAAAAAAATACACAGAAGGGAACAGAAGGAAGTTCAGAAGGAAGCACAAACAGGATAGTTTTGAAAGTCATGTGAAGAATTTATTACATGCTTTCAAAAATACAAGCACTATGAAATGGATATTCATGGTTTCATATATAATCCTTTTTTATATTCTCTGGTATTTATGGAAACGTTCTTGTTCTTAAGTTCAGAATTTAAAAAAAAAGGAAATACCTTATATTTTTATGCTACATTATAAACTCATCTAGGGCAATGAACTGCTTTTATGTATCTTTGTATTCCCCTATGAGTAATTCAGTGCCTTGCACGTAGCAGGCACTTGGTATATGTTTTGGATTTCATTGAATTGCAGGCAGCATTATAACACTACTTTACTGGGTAGTTGTGGTAAAACTGCATTGTAAACTACAAAACTCTATGTAACTAGCAACTGGCCAATGAATGACAGAGCACCCAATGGCCAGTCCTCCAATATATCTATATAAAATGTGAATTGTTTTATTAATTCCTGAATCTCAGAAATTCCAAAACTTCCTCTGGCATGTAAAGCCATGACAAGAAGTCCTTATTTTCTCTCATCAGGACTTTGGAAAGAAACAATAATAATAGCTTACTTTTATATGGCAAGGTTTGCAAAGTGATTTCCTCCCAACAGCCCTCTAGTGAAATATTTTTTTTTCTCATTTTGAAGTTGAGGAAACTGAGGCATGAAGAAAGTAAGTGAAGTGACTTTTCCTGGTCTCCTGGCTCAGTCTAGCATTCAGTTACCAAGAGACCATATTGCCTCTCAAGAAACAATTTTTGTTGTTGGGTTGTGTCTGACTCCTCCTGCCCATTTGGAGCTTTTCTTGGTGGACGTATTGCTGCGGTTTGCCATTTCTTTCTCCAGCTCATTTTACAGATGAGAAACTGAGGCAAACAGGGTTAAGCAACCCAACCATGTCGGAGGCCAGATTTGAACTCAGGAAGATGAGTCTTCTTGACTCCAGGTCTGGCACTCTATCCTCTATGCCACCTAGCTGCACATCAAGAAACAGCAAATATTTATTAAGTGCTTACTGTGGAGCTTAAAGTCCAGTGGTATATCAAGTTTAAACAAGACACAGTAATTGCTGTTTCTCTTAAAGTTTATAATCTAGGCAATGTTGTGTAGTGTATTGAATGCTAGACTTGGAATCACCTGGCTCTGAATATTGCCTCCTTTCTCTGACCCTTGCAAGTTATGTGACCCTGAGCAAGTCACGTAACTTCACCTATCCTCAGTCTCTTCATTTGTAAATCCGGGATAGTAACAGTCTTGCAGGGTTATGATGAAGACTAATTTAAATTGTGTATGTAGAGCGATTTAGCAAAAAAAAAAAAAGCTCCATAAGTATATGAGATATTATGATAGCCTAGTATGCAAGAAGACATTGACGCAGATGATTTAAAGTATTATATGATAAGCTCATGTGAGAGTTACAAATCAGAGTTTATGTGAGGGAGGAGGTAGGGAGAGGGGGGCATCAAGGAGGAGGGCATTTGAGTTGGAAAAGACGGGTAGCATGTGGAGACGGGGAGGGAGTCTTCTCCAGGCAGATACAAAAGGGAGATTTAAAAGTAGTCCAGTTTGTACGAATTTAAAGTTTTGGAAGATAATAAATTAATATAAGAAGCATGGGAATGGAGAGGTGGTGGATTCTGTTAGATCTTGAACGCCAGGCAAAGGAGAAGCGAGTATTTCTCCAACTACAAATTGCAACCAAAAAGAGTGACACATAGGAAGAAGGAACGAAGGAAAGGTTGAGGAAAATGGGAAGGGAGGAGGAGTATGACAACAGGAGCACTTCAGGGGCGCTTATTAAATTTCAATTCAATAGAGATTGGAAGGGCCGGAGCCCACAAATAAAATGCTATATGTAAAATGCTTTACAAACTTCAAAACACTACATAAATGCCCGTTATGATACCACTGAAGCTGCAGCAGCATCTTTGCCGGTAATTGCCTTCATTGCGGAAGTCGAGGCCTCAGTGGTTTCTCGGTGGCTGGGTTTTTGTGCGCATCCCAACTCGGCTTACTCCCCCACGTCTCCGCCTCCGGCAGCAGGCCCCGGGGCCAATGGCTGCACCGGACACCACGTGGCTGTGGGCAGAGGACGCTCCGACACGCAGGAACGTTCTGACCCACTGCACCTGGAATCCTGCGCCCTCCGCCCATCGCGATGTCCCGAGGAGGCACGGGAATTGTAGGCGCCCATGGCGTGGGCGTGGGGTAATGGGGAAACGTCATGTCTGCATTGTCGGTTAAAAAGGGAGCTGGGGGGAACCGGGGCCGCTGTGATCCACTGGCTAATAGGAGGAGGATGATAGCTCTTCGGAACTCCTTGTGCTGCCGTCGGGCTGAACTCTTGAGCCCAGTAAATCCTGAGCACCGCCCACGGGGTGCGGGCCCTAGGTGTACTTTACCCTCTCACCGACCCCTGAGGGAAGCTGACCAGAAAGCAGTCACTGGACCTTCTGCGAGCAGCGTTCTCTCTCTCTGTCTGTCAGTTTCTATTTCTATCTCTGTCTCTCTCCTTTCTGTGTGTATGCGGGCGTGTCTGTCTGTCTATCTCTGCCTGTCTCTCTAGGTCTTTTTCTCTATTTTTCTCAGTTTCTGACTCTGTCCCTATATCTCTTTTCCCCCTATATCTATTTTTCTCTTACTCTGTCTCTTTATGTCTCTCCCTTTGTCTGTGTCTCTATCACTCTGTCTCTATTTCTCTGTTTCTGACTCTCTTTTTGGCAGTTGGGTTAGGTGACTTGCCCAGGGTCACAGAGCTAGTAAGTGTCAAGGGTTTGGTCTGAGGCTGGATTTGAACTCAGGTCCTCCTGACTTCAGGGCCGGTGCTCTAGCCACTGTGCCACCTAGCTGCCCCATCTGTTTCTGACTCTTGTGTGTCTCTGTCTCTTTGTCTCTCTCTCTCTCTCTCTCTCTCTCTCTCTCTCTCTCTCTCTCTCTCTCTCTCTCTCTCTCTCTCTTGCTTGAACTAAATGACCTTAAGGACCCTTCTTGCTTTAAATGATAGGGTTGGACTAGGTGATCTTTCAGGCCCCTCTCTTTCCATGAAAAGCTGGACTTCTAACATCCCTCCTTTCCAGATGAAAAATGAGGGTTGTGATTAGATGACCTTTAAGCTACTTTCCAGCTCTTAAGTCTATGACCCAGTGATCCTGTGTGTTCACCCCACCACCCTGCCCTGGCATTCAGTGGACACATTCTCAAATACCTTGTGTTACCTTGTTTCTCACAGGCTCCTTTCTCTGTTGAGTGTTCTTCACCAGGCAGGTAGCAGAGTCCTTTCAAGTCAAATCAACAAAGGCTTACTAAGTTCCAAGCACTGTGCTAAGGGAAAGGGATAGAAAGAAAAGCCAAAGACAGACCCTGGTCTCAGGAAGGTCACAGTCGAGGCAATGGGAGAGACAACATACAAACAACATTGTACAAAAAAAGATGTGTGCAGGATAAATTGGAGTGAATGAACAGAGGGAAGGCACTAGCATAAGAGCAGTGGGGAAAGGCCTCTTACAAAAGTTGAAATTTAACCTGGGACCTGAAGAAAGCCATGCAAACCAGGAGATGGATATGAGGAGGAAGAGAATTCCAGGCATGGGATACAGTAGTGATAATGGTAATACCTTTGTTTAGCACTATATATAGCACTTGAAAGTTTGCAAAGAATAATACAAATATTATTCTATCCCTAACAGCCTTGAAAGGTAGGTGCTAATTAGTATTCCCATTTAAAAGATGAGGAAATTAAGATAGAGAGAGGTTAAGTGACTTTCCCAGGGTCATACAGCTAGTAAGTATCCAAAGCTAGCTCTGAACTCGGCTGTTCTGGATTCCAAATACTGTACTCCATTAACTAGCAACTGCTGCCTCCAGCTGGCTGGATAGCCAGTGAAAATGCACTCAAAGCCAGGAGATGAAGTGTAGGATAAGAGAAACATGAGTGTCGCTAGAACAGAGTACCTAGAGGGGAGTGAGGTATATAGAATAATGGAAAGGTAGGAAAGGGCTAGCTTATGAAGAGCTTTTAATCATAAGAGCACTGAGTCAGAGGATATAGTTGTGTGACATTGCCAAAGCTACTTTACTTCCCTCCCTTAATGGCAGAAGTGGGGAACTCTGGGTGTAGAGTATTGCATACACTATAAGATCCAGCCCATGCTGATTTATGGGATCATGGATGTAGAGTTAGAAGAGGCTTCAAACATCATCTTGTTGAATCTTCTTGTCTGATAGATGAGGAAGCTAAGGCCTTGGGAAGTTAAGGGATTTACCTGAGGTCACAGAAGTATTAGTGGTAGATTTGAACTCAGTGTTTTCTTCTGTATCGTGTTGGTCCTGCTGAATTGTGTTTTTTTTTCCTCCTCAGTCTTTAAAAATCTTTGTTACAAGGGGATAGTTCACTGGCGGGGTGGTGTCAGAGGCAGAATATATTTGTAAACTGATGTACTGCAAAAAAAAAAAGACATTAAGAATTTGTGAATAGATTAATTGATATCTTTGAAAATTCAATACATAATCAAAAATTGCATACCCACTTAATCAGGAGCCTGTTTTCCCAAAGATTTTGGAAGGATAAAAGCAGTTTTACATGTTTGTATGGGGAAAATGTGAAGGATTCCATACAGTCTTAGTCATGTTTCTGTCATGTATATTATGACAGGTTAGGAAGAGAAAATATGCAATTCTTTCTACAAAAAGTAACAAGTACCAAGGACAGCCTGTATTTGCATTTGTTGTATGTTGGTGTTATTTAGCTATTGATGGCATGCCAGCAGTGTGCTTGGGACTCTATCAAAGTCGAAATAGTGTTTGAGAATGGTGCCTTTGCACATAGTGTGTTTCACTAAAGATGCCCTCACAAAAAAGAGAATGTGTTTACTCTCACAAAGTCTAGGAAGCTGCTTATCTTCCTCCTGGTAACACCTTTCACCTACATCAGCAAATGCACAGGAAAAGTTGTTGCAGCAACCTCATAGATTATATACAACTCTGAAAAGGAGATTTGCAAGACGAGTCTGCAGAGAGGAGTTTGGGGTTGATTTGACTGATTTCTGGCCCTCTTCCCCTGCCAGACTGATCGTTACCATACAAAGTCCAATGCACTGGAAATTTGAAAACTTCAATGTTTTCTGTAATGAGCATATTTTGTTTATCATACTTGGAAGAATGGTAGCATTTCAAGCCCTGCAAGTCCATTGTAGCTGTAGTTCTGTCAAAACTAAATTAGTGAGGATGGGGGAAGGGTTGAGTTGGTATAAAAAGTACTGGAGTTTGACTTAGAAGAGGCAACATAGTATTGTGGAAAGAAACTTGGATTTAGGTGAGAGGATCCAACGTTCAAATCCTAGTTCTGCTGCTTATGGTCTGTGTGACAAGCCACTTCACTATTCTTGGCCTCAGTTTCTTCACCTGTAAAATGAGGAGGATTGGATTAGATAGCTTCTGAGATTGCTTCTAGCTCTAAATCTATAATCCTATGAACTCCATGAGATTTCCAAACTATGACGCGGATTCTAATGTGCCACGTACAAGCTAGATTAATCAATCACTTTAGCTCTCTGGGAATCACTTTCCTCAAATATTAAATGAGAGGGTTTAGAAAAGAGGGTCACTGCAATCCCTTCTAGTTCTAAAATCAATGAACATAGGGGCAGCTAGGTGACGCAGTGGATAGAGCACTGGCTCTGGAGTCAGGAGGACCTGAATTGAAATCCAGCCTCAGACAGTTATTAGCTAGCTGTGTGACCCTAGGCAAGTCACTTAACTCCAGTTGCCTCCAAAAGGAATAAAATAAATGAACATAAACATTCCCTTCCCCACCTCCACTCCTGCCTTCCCCACCACCACCACACACATAGGGCCTAGGTGGTGCAGTGGATAGATCCCTGGGCTTAGAGTCAGACTAGAGCTGAATTCAAATCTGGTCCCACACTGTAAGACTTTAAAACTCAGACTTCCTAATTGTGTGACTCTAGGCCAAGACTTCTTAAACTTTTTCCACTCGTGACCCCTTCAGCACTTCATATGGGGTCGAGACCCACAGTTTAAGAAGCACTGCTAGACAAATCACTTAATTTCCACCTTACTTTCCTCATTTGTGAAATGGGGGTAATAGTACACCTAACTCCTAGGGCTTTTGTGAGGATCAAATGAGATAATATTTGTAGAGTTCTTGTTTCATTCTCCTTCTCTTCCATCCCCAGTGTCCCCTATTAACTTTCATTCCAATACATCGAGGTTCTGTCATTTCTTTGGAGTAGAAATGTCTTCTATAACTGTGCCTAATGAAACATTCTTCTTGTTGGTTCTGGGAGAAAAATTCATGACTCAGTAGCCAGTATTTTGGTGATGAGCCTCCCTCAGCAGTTCCAGAGCCCCATATCTGAAGTCTTTTCGACTTCTTAGGATCTACCAGAGTCTCTGTTGGCAGAGACTTCAAGAATCTCTACACCATAATGGAGGACTTGAATAAAAACCTTTATCTGCATTCTGGCAATAGGCCAGAGATAGATTTTTAGCATCTGATTTGATAGCCTTGTCACCAACTTGTTACATGTGTAATTGGGGCATGTCCAGTGGCACTTAATGATGGATACTTGGCTTCAGTACCAATAATAGGAGGCAAGGGAACTAGCATTCATCAGGACGAAGACCTAGGAAATCAGATCCCTGAGACTCATGTGTAGATTCAAGAATTGTAACAGGAGGCATGACTTTGAAAATGAAACAAAAGCAATCAGATGGGGAGCCACAGAGAGTGGTGACTGGGTATGGAGTCCTGAGATGGTCCTGAACTGCAGCGATGTCCCGAGATACAGTCTACCATCTCTCAAGCCTACACTTAGGATAGGAATCATGCTAATAATATCCAATATCTTCATAATGCTCTAAGGTTTGCGAAGTTTTATATATATTTTTATATATATGAAAAATCTCATTTGATCCATCCAGGAGATGGATTCCACATGGAAGGAACTAGCAACCTAGAGCCAGACTTGAGGCAAATCCTATTCCAGGAGCTGCAGAGACTGCCATACTAAACAGCTGAGTAGTGCAGTGGATAGAGTGCTGGCCTGCAATCAAGAAGACTTGAGTTCAAATATGGCCTTAAACATTTACTAGCTATATGACCTTGAACAAGTCACTTAACCTCTGTTTACCTCAGTTTCCTTAATTATAAAGTGGGGATAATAATAATAGCACCTATCTCCCAGCAC